AGGCCACTTCATCTTCTTCCCACCTTCAACAATACCCAATTAAACCAAAATCAAAACCCAGAAAATCCAATCAAATTCAGATTTAATTATGGAAATTTATATCAATGCATTTCCATGGGTGCTTGAGAACATTCGAGCTATCCCTTTATTTGAGAAGCTGATAACTCTAATCTTCTTTCTCGTTGAACAGCTCACGAAACAAAAGCAAAACCATGAGTGTGTCGATGGCCAAAGCTGATAGATGAAGGGGAATCCAAGGTGCTTAGTTTCGAGACTATTGTGATGATACTGTCGAGAGTCTCTTCCTCGACTTGCATTGTAGTAGAAACCTCCTTTGCCTGACCGCCTGGCCTTCCAAGGAGTGGCCACTACCTCGGGCTAGCAACCGTTAGCTCTGAAGTGGTTCCCATCTTGAAAATATATTTTATGGTTGAGGAAATATCAGAAACTGATTTTGGGTGTTAAACTCTAGATGGCATGAAATGGTATACATTCCCAAAATCCATTGCTGCATCTTCATTTTTTTCAAAGGTTAAGTGCCCCTTAAGCCCATCTGCAAATGATGAATATAAGATTGGAATTGGAAGGTTTTTTCTTCTGATTTTGATATTCATATGTGATGTTATGCTTTTTAGAAATTTTCATAGCTACCAAGTTGTAAACAAAAGTAATAGAAGGAAATTTAGTGAGGAAATTCTGGCCCTATTAGTAAAAGTTGAAAAGCAATGTTGTTGCTATAAATGATTATTTCTTTTCTCCGCGATCAATTAGTTATTCATCGAAGGTACTGAGACGGGAAATAGAATATGGGTAAGATGGCAGAATGAAGTGACCTGCGCCAGTGCTTAGGCCAACCTTTAGTATAGTATTGGTTTCGAAATCCCAAGTCAGCAAGAAGGAAGAAGTAAACAATGGAAGTTGCTCGTACCAAAAAATGCTGCATTTGTTTTAAGGTAGTAAAAAGGGGTCCGTTCTTATGGCTATTGCTTCTTGACTTTATCATCCATTTTGTTTGTAGTGAGGACCAGATTGGCGACCCTATCCTATGTTTATGGCTATTGTGCATTTGCTGCAATACGCGAAGAAAGCTCTTTGCCAGACACTCACTTAACTGCGGAGCTGCAGGTGTGTATGAATATTAATAGTGATACGTAGTAAATCTTTTCTAAAGCTTGGCTTTGAGCCTTCCTTTAATGTGGCACTGAACCCTGGCGAGATCTTCTTTTGAACATAAAAATTTTATTTCTTTTCTCCACCTTCTTGAACTTAATAATACTTGAAATTTGCTCTTTCAAGTTTTTAGTCATTCTATAGTTGACATAACAAATTTGTAAAGTGCTATTGTAAGCATTGCTTGATCTTGTTTGTTTGCTTAAATCATATAAGGAACTATAGAAATAAATGATGATGAATGCAATTGTGTCTGCATCTATAATTAAAAAAAAAAAAAGAAAGTGATGTTAGTGTGAAGCTTGACCGAGGTGAGAAAACAGGATATTGAAAGTGAAGAATTGGGTTTGTGCTAGGGGGCAGAGTGAAGACTAAACTATTCTGTTATGTATTGGGTTGGTTGATTGTATTGGGTTTGGGATCATGATGCCTTAAACACATAAGTTGTTATGAAGGGCTGTTATGTAGTTCTAGTGTATGGCTTTGGGTCTATTTAGAAATCAGGGCCATGAAATACATACATTTTTACTTAATATATAGGTAAGCTGATGCACTTAATCGTGCTTCTTGATTAGAAGGTTCTTTACATTTTACCATTCTTGGATGAATCAAGTTAATATGTTTAATAGAAATAAAATATATAATTACAAAGAGACAATATGCAAAAGAAATTCAACTATCTACTGGATCTATTATAATATTTTGATTTATTTGTCACTTTTTTGAATTTTTGTCTTCCAAAGCCAAGTTAATATGTTAGTTAATAGAAGTAAAATATAATTACAAAAAGACAACATATAAAAGAAGTTGTCACTTTTTTTAAATTTTCATCACTTTTTTGAATTTTTATCACTTTTTTAATATTTGTCACCTTCTTGATTTCTATCTTTTTTTTTAAATTTGTCACTTTTTTTGAAATTTGTTAATTTTTTTAGTATTTGTCACTTTTTTTTACTGTTTGTTGCTTCTTCTTTGTTTCAGTTGCTTTCTTGAAATTTTTATCACTTTTTTAGTGGCAAACATCATTTTGTAATAAAAGTGAGATTGTATGTCAATTTTTTCATAAAAAAAGTGATACTGTGTCACTTTTTTGAGTTTTTTTGTCACATTTTAAATTTTTGACACTTTTTTTTTTTTAAATATTAGTCACTTTTTGAAGAAGATAAAAAAAGTGACATAATATGTTATATTTTTCTAACATAATTAGCATGTGGACAATGCACATGTTGATTATGTTAAGAATCGCCACCATGTTCGTGTGAATTTTGTCCTGAATATGCTGATTATGTTGAGAACGTGATTACTAGTGCTGCAATAATCGATGGTTCTATTTTGGTGTTTGTTACTTTTTTTTTAAGTTTGTGTCACTTTTTTTGAGTTTGTATAACTTTTTTAGTGTTCATGTCACTTTTTTTGAATTTTGTCACTTTTTTGAGTTTGTAAAAAAAAGTGACAATTTTTTTATAAAAAAGTGATATTGTGTCACTTTTTCATTTTACACAGTATTTTTTACTTTCTAAAAATTTTTCATATAATTTTTCAAAACACATCTAATTTTAAGGATATTTTTGTAAGTTGTCCATGCTAAATTGGATCAGTTGCTCGTTAATTCGTAAGGACGAGCTCACAAAGCAGCCCACTGGCAAGCGAACTCGCTATTTCTCAAGAAGCTGTTTGGAAACCTGAATTTTAAATTCCCATTTTCTAAATTTCTCTTTTACTAAACAATAAAATAAATTTTAATGTTAAAATAATTAATTGAACGACGGCTCGGCCACCCGAAAATTTCTAGGCAAATTGGCTCATGCCTGGCTCGCTCCAAAGACAGCACGGGCACACTCACTTGAAGGGTGAGTCGGGCCAAGTTGATGCATTACCATCCCTAAAAGGAATTTGACGGCAAACTAAAAAAAACTGTGCATCACAAAATTGGAGAAAATATTACTGAATAGTACGATGCAAGATGAAACCTACAAATCGCAAAAAGGCATTCGTAGGTCAATTATTCACCTTCTTTCTAGAAACTTCGACATGATTCTTCCATTCTTTCTTCCACAAATCAGAAAATATCACGATAATCCAACCAAAATCCCACTGATTCGAACCAATTTTTTCACCCTTTTTTTTTTTGCAAAAATACAAGTAAACCTAGAATTTGTGATTTAAGCGGCATTTCCGTTCAAAACAATGGGGAAAAATCAAAGTGATTTAAGATTCGCCTCATTTCTACAATATTCGAATTTTATTATAATTGGTTAAGCTCCATTATTTTCATCAAAATACATTTTTCAACAGTGATTTGATCTCATTTCAACCACACATTTTTCATTAAAATAATATTACACGTCAATTCAAAACTTTTCTTTATTTTTTAATCGCATATTTTTCATCAATACAATATTCAAAAAATACATTTTTTCGTCAAGAATGGGGCTCAAACAAGGGCTAAATAACTCTGCTTGTGATCTCTGTGTTTGACTGTAGTTTCTGATTTGTAACTTATAATTTTGATAATATGCAGAAAATTTTGTTGATTTCGTCCACAATCTGAAAAACAAATTGGCTAGCAATTTTGTTGCATTGTCATACTTGTCGGTTTTTCGTTTTACACACCGTGGACTTTTGTCTAAATTCTACCCTCAATTTTTCAGTTGTCGGTAAGCTCCTTAAATCTTTCATTATACAGTAAAAAGTTTGGTTAAATGGTTGCCAACAAAATGATCAGCGCAATTATCAAAGTCGGTAGAAGATATTGGTTTAATTATTCAAAAATTGCTCGTGTAGGTCTTAACCTTTAGTGACCCTGCGCTTTTATTTACTATTTTTAAAATTGCACTTTCAATCCCCATAGTTTATTCTGATGTAATCCACGGTTAAATATGTCACAAGTTCACAATGACCATTGATTATTCAACTATAGCAATTTTAAGTTAGTTTCATCAATCATGTTTGGTCAAACTTGGCGTTAATGTCGTGGATTGCGTACTATAAATCCTTTGAATGGTCGAATTATAGCTATTTATAATTGGAGTGGACCGATAAGTCCAATTGGATAACCGATGAACCAGATCAGCCTAACTACTGTAGCTGGACTGGTTTAGTTGTTCAAAATCGAACGCGTCACAACTTATTAGAATCGATCGAGTTTTACCATATGCCTGTGATCTGATCCGAATGTAAACCATCGGTTCTTTATTGATTTACAAATTCTTTGCAAATTTACAAAATAAGCCTGGAAAGTACCTCAAAGAAAGGGATCAATTTCCACTGGGCTGCCTTTGCTATTGCATCCTTGACATTATATACAAGTTGCCAAACCAGACTTCCTCCCTTTCACAGCTCCCAAAAAAAAAAAAATAATAATAAGGAGGTTGAAGAGAGCAAGTTCTCTGTGGCTTATTTTAAAATATAATTTTTCAAAGGTAATTTAAATATAACTACCGTTGGGTTTTGATATACAATGAATTCCGAACTATGATGAAACCGTCGGATTGAATTTTTATAGGCATTGGGCAATAAGTGAAATTGCTACCAACAATTAAGTCTAAATGATCGACCCAAAAATAATGTGGACTGTTGGAATTAGCTTAAAAAATTAATGCTACTCACGACCCATATATATTACCTTTTGAATGACTTTAAATATTGGTCTAACTAAAGCGTAACTTAACCCTGTATATATGCTATTTCATAACCCTAGAAATGTGTATGATTTGTGTATGAAAAAGAGAGAAAAATGTGGCCTTTAAGAGACAATCAGTGACTTTCCTTTGATTTTGGTCTCTTCTTTTGCCATCTTCTACTGTTGTTCTTCTTGCCTTTGTAGTTATCATCACTGTTATCTTATACTATGTAGGTGAAATTGAGAAGCAATCTAGGTTATGGGTTGGAGCCGTTTGATTGATTGTTTGGTAGAGAAATGAAACTTCAAATTGAGCCCCCAAAAACAACGTTTTGAAAAATCCCTATAGCAAGCTTTCATGACAAAAACAATTAACTAAAATACATTATGTTATTCAAAAATTCCACTGGACGTTTTGAAAGTTTTATGTTTAGATTTAAATTGAATATAAGAAGTAAATGTCATATATTGTATGAAAAGATATGCTATTTGTACAGAAAATATGCTACTGAAATTTGTATAGAAAACACTAGGTAATTTCCTGTAAAAAATAAAAGATGGACTAAGCAGATGCTGCCAGTTGGTAGCATCTATATTTATTCTGGCAACACTGCTTCTTTACAAGCAGAGAAATTCATGTTTTAAAATTGAAGTACGATATGATACAATGCTTTTGTTAAATAATCAATAAGATATTAAGCCATTTTTAGTGGGGATTAAAATCCAAATTTTAATTTAAGTGAAAATTTACAATTAATTTTAAACATATATTTTATAAGTTCCAGAAGTTTTCAAGCACACATTTCATTATCTTCTATCATAATTTACTAAAAATCTGATTTTAATCTCCACCAAGTAGGGACTAAATTTAATTATTGAAAAATAACATTTAAAAATTTATTATTTTTTCAGATTATAATCTATCCTATCCTTTAAACTCATGATTATTCTTTCCTTTGTATTCCTTCTACAAAAATTCCAACCCCCCCCCCAAAAAAAAAAAAAAAAAAAAAAAAAAACCCACCCCCCCCCCCCCCCCCCCACAAATACTGTCTAATGGATATTCAAACCAATATGTTGGACTATTAGATGTTCAAACCAATATGTTGGATTAAGAGTAAATCTTGACAAAACCATGAAGTTAACAACAGGGAAAACAGAAAAGTTAAACAAAATTATTGACTATTAAGAAATTACACAATCTTGCTAACAATGAGGAAAAATGTTGTTTAGCACCCCAATTAGACTTTTTTGGCTCCTCATGCCATTCCCATCCCATCCCATCCCAACCTAACTCTAATACTTTTATCCTTCACATGTATTATGTATTCAATTTTATTCACACAATGAGAACAAAAAATAATATTAATATCCCTATTGTTTGAACTTGGAATAATTTAGTACCTCCTCGTGTGAACGTGAAAATGACATTAAAATTTGTTTAGTTGACTATAAGACAAAGATCATAATAGTTGAACAAAAAAAAGGAGTAAGGCAATAAGCCGAAATTAACTCGATGTAGTGAATGAGATGACGAAGTAAAATTTACAGTCAACCCTGAATTTATTAATCAATTTGTTATTATACTTAATAAGTGAAATTTTTGAAAACATCGGGTCATTAATTTTGGATGTAAAGGGCGAGCAATGCAATGTAGTATTCGAGACGGACAATGTGAGCGAGAGTCTAGACTATTGCATATTTAAAGACTTCTCTCTTGAGTCTTGACTTTAATGATGGAAGATGAACAATAACAAATATTAATTTATTTGGAAAATTAATAATCAAGTCAATGAATGAATCTCTGTTGTGATCTCATATTGATTTCAGTGTTTATATAATAGTCTTGTAATTACCTGTTCAGTTGATAGTCGCCATATAATAAATATATAACACAAACGCGTTTTCTTTTATTACTGTGTAGTGTCATGGGCGGAAAAAATAAGCAAGTTGATAATTGAATTTTATTAAATTGTTATATGAATATTAAATAAATAAAAGTTGATGCTATCTCTAACCATCACTTTCATTAATCATCCTCTTTTGATACAAATATTACCTTGTTTGAATCATTATATATACAATTGAACTTATAAGTTTATTATCTTATGTTGAAAGTCGAAACAAGTTGATAGGGTCTCCTTTCTCACTTCTCTTGTACAGTGCAATCCGACCTTTCTACTATATTATGGGCCTGCTCGGTAGTGATTTTGAGAATTGATTTTTTGACTGTTAGGAGAAAAGTAGGGGCTACTTGTGAGAGAAGAAGTCAAAAATTATAGTTAAAATAGTGAAATAACGATCAAAAAATTAATTTTTTGGGACGAAAAATCACTCCCAAATGAGGCCTATATAAGGTTAACATTTTCATTTTTGAAGCTTCTAAGATATGTTCTGGTGCAGTATTTTTTATTTTTAACTAATTTCATTCTCTAAAATAATTTAATTTCATTTGTACTTGTAAAATCACACTTACCAATGATTAAACTAAGAACGTGCGAGTTATAAGTAACTTGTATCACATATGAAAATCATTAACCAAACATTTAATTAAATCTATATATTTTTCGACCTTTATCTTCGCATATGATGTATTAGATTAAATCGCTATTGTAAAATATAATTTCTTTAGACATATATTTAACATTTCGATCTTTATTACATCCTCAATGTTATCATATCACTTATTGTCTGGGGTGAAGTCAAAACTACGATTTGATGGGGGCAAAGTTTAACTACAAATATATTTTTTAAACAATGCAATAACATAATAGTATTGAAAAATCCAACAATTTTTCTCTTCAGAATTTCCCACGTATCAAACATGGCAAATCCACTTTAACGTAGACGATTAATATAGATTTAAACGATTTTCGCCATCGCAGATTCATTGAGCAACTTATATAGAAAGTTTGATGGTTAAATTGAGACAATAGACGAAAGCCAATGGTTTAATTTTCCCTATCATTAATTACCTCTCACTCCTTTTTCTTTTTCACACTTTCTTTCACAGCCATTTTTGCAAGGAAATTACTGGTGTAACATGGGGGCTGACCACCCCCATGACAGAACCCCACCAATTGGGGTGGGTCGAGCGCCAAAAAGAGGGCCCCACCCCCTATTGGTGGGGTTTTGTTAGGGGGCGATCAGCCCCCTGTTACTACAGCATGGTTCTTTTTGCAAATAAAGATGTAAATATTATTTCAAAAGGATAATCCTAAATCTCTAACGGCTCCCACCTCCCTCCGCCACTGCTTGTAATAAAATAATTTCATTTCTCATACATTTAATGACCCAACTACAAATAAGACTTAGATCTATATAGTATAGTTGGTCTAATTAATAACCAGTGTCTTTATCTTATTATTTAATTTTATAAATATATTCCTCTCACGTAATGTACCCAGCTAGCTAATACTTCGCATCCATTTCAAATCTTCATTAATAATCAAATCCAATTGCCTAATATTTGTTTTGGCAGGTAATATTATATATTGATTTCAAATGATTAATTAAACAATAGTATATATTTAATTTAATGTAAAATTAAACACAAGTTGAGTAAAATAAACCCATATGGTAAGTTGATTATTCATGAACCACGTTGTGAAACCGTGGCTATCTTCTACTGAATAGTGAGTACCCTTCAAAGAAAAATCAAGTGGAGGAAGAGATAACTGGGATTTCATTGACTTCGCCACTCCCAATCATTCCATCAACTAGTATTTAACTTCATGTCAGTCATTTCATAAACAATATTATTCAATAAAAGTATAATAAAGTTTTGCAACGAAAGTCAATTAAATTCGGTTTTACATCGCTAAACTTAGAAAATCCAATATATATATATATATATTTGACCTAGCAAGTCTAATATATGGCCCCGTTTGAGCTGCATTATTTTCAAAAAAATATATATATATATATACTTTTAAACAGTGATTTGACATTATTTCAACCATGTATTCTTCAATTAAATAATATTATACGCAAATCAAAACTTTTCTTCATTTTTTAATCATACATTATCCACCAATATGCTATTTCAAAATACATTCTTTCAAAATAATGGAGTCCAAACACATATATATAACAGTTTACAGACAAAAACTAGGGTTGAAATTCCATTAATCAATAGTAATTCCACACGGGAGGCTGTTGGAAGCCAACTTCAGACAAGTAACTCTCAGCACTTCCTTCCCCGAAGCTCGGGGATCCCTTCGTGTTAGGGTTCATTGTGTCCCTCGTGAAAACATGCTCCAAAACATCAGTCACCAGCTTTTTATCATAACATGGGTTTGAATTACTATGCACTCCAAGTTGATGTGGAAAAGTGGACAAATCTTGATCCATTTGGGCGAGGTTTGAGAAATTAGGGTTTGTTTGGTTTGGGATAAGAATGGAGAAGCAGGACACTTGCTCATCAACTTGGTCAAAGGTAATGTAGGGTTCAACTAATGGTGGAAGAGTGCTTCCCAATTCTTGTTTGGCACACAGTTCTGATCTGTTTTTGTTGAACACTCTGCATAACACCCAATCTACCTGTATCAAAGAGACAAAGATATAAAATTAGTCAAATTTAAAGTATTTTAAGAGTAAGGTAATTATAATTATTAACCTAGTTAGTTATTAAGATGTAAGAGAGTAGATTATGGACACCATACCATAACAGGAGAAATAAATTTAGGAGGAGCAAGGGGTCCTTCGAGGCGAAATTCGTGCATAATCCAACTTGTCTTTCTCCCTTTGGGTGCCCGACCCTCGTAGAATACCAAAGTCTTTCTCATACCGACTAGAGTACCCCTTCGAAGTACTGCCCTATCCTTCCCAGTTGCCTTCCAATATCCAGAAATAGTGGCTCGATTTGTTCTTGATCCAGTCGCATATTTCCGGTCAAGTTGGTTGTAAAAGTACCAATCTTTGCCTCCAACACATGCATTTTCTGTAGAATGGAATTAGAATTAGATGCTAATCAGTTACCAGTACAAGCTCTTAATGCACACTAGGGAAGTCAAAATCATTCATCATAGTTGTCACTCGTATCTATAATATTCATAAATAAGTTCAGGAAAAAAAAAAAAAAAAGAGAGAGCAAGATTTTATGACATCAGAATCGATAGGGGAATGACGCTTGCGGGGTGATATGGACCTGTAGGAAACAACCACGTGGAAAATAGTCCAAACAAGTGTGGGACACAACGCGAGTCACGCATAATAGCTGGATTTAATTAGACCAATAATGGCGAAACTTTCAAAATCTCCAATAATAGTCCAATTAATAATTGAGAGACATTAATTAGAGGGTAACTGCAGAAATTGGATAACTGACAGATATGAAGTTCAACGTTGAAGTTTGTAGTCATTCAACCTTAATCAGTCATTACACAGCTAAAGTATCGAGTTGATAGATCACTGTTTCAACTACGAATTTTCTTCAACAATTTTCTTGTTAGACTTGTCTATTCGGATTTTTTATATCTGCGAGCTCAAGGTTTCCAGAATGTTTATACGGTCGACTAGGGATTCATATTAACTGGGTCCGAATAATTTTAATTCGATCCAGCTTAAAAAAATCTATTGCATAAATTGAACACGTGTAGATTATAAAAAGAAGAGAAGTGCGTGAAATATCTTGTTTATTGTCTTGTTCAATTCAACGTGAAATATTTATTACTGTGTACACGTGTGTAGTTGAGATTAGGTTCAAAGCGTCGATGCATGATGTGACTTCGAAAGGATTTAATTAGTTGAATTGTTACCTCAAACGGCTGTTGCCATCTTTTGGTTATGACAGAGCCAAGAATGTCAATTTCTCGGAAAAAAAAATGGATTATAAGAATTTGCAAGAGATTATTTAAAAAAATGTAATACACAGACATATAAACTACATGATGAAAGAGATTTATTTTTATTTTTATTTTTTATAAATATGTACATCAAGATATTAATTTCTATTTCCAGTATATCAATTGTATTTATCCTGTTAAAAAAAAAACAAAAAAACTGAGAGGGTTCCAAAAAAGTCTCCCATTTGTTTAATCCATGCAACACATGCAGAGAGTATAATATATTTTCATGGATATATAATCAAATATTTATGGACTTGATCGTTTTGAAGATAACTAGCTTTCAGGTTTTATATTCTAGAAATTAAAATGACAAATATTAAAGAAATTTTTCAAAAAAAAAATCTTTGAAAATTCAAAATTGTAGAATTATTTGCTTATATAAGACCAGAATTATGAAAAATCCATAGGCCTTACGAATTTAATTAAGATCAAATATTGTTGGCTTTGCTTTGAGTGGTAAAAGGGCTTATGTACATAAAATCAAACAGTTAAGCAAAACTTTCTATTCCTAGCATCAATTTCTGGCCATAGAAGTGGAAGATAATTAAGGCCAAGTTTGATATGCTCGACGAGACCAAACATCACAATTTGTTAATCTCGTTCGATATTATTTAATTACATCAATATGTCAAATATATCATGAAATCATACACGTTGATTGCAAGTTAAGATTTGGATAGAGTACTAACCAGGAATGTCCCATGGTTCACATTTGTTGAGGTCAACTTCGATCAGTAGAGGAGGCCGGCCATGTCCAGAAGCGGCGCCACCACCTCCACCGCTTGTGGACACCCATTTCATCAAGTAATCACATATAAGTTCATCATCTCTTGGATGGAACCTAAACCCCGCCGGCAGCTTTGCCTCCACCATGCTCAAACTGCTCATTTTTTTTCTAGAGAGAGAGAGAGAGAGAAAGAGAGAAGGTTTGAGGTAGTTGGACACAAGACTAAATGAAGATCCTTTTGAGACAGCCAGGTTATATGGGGAAATTTGCATTATTTGTCCTCAACTTTTGCAATCTGTCATCAATCTACCTCAACAGAATAAGACTTTCCCAACACTTCACAAATATACCAAATCTCTCATTTCGTCCATTTTTAAATAACGAATTTTCAATAAAATAGACCGAAAAAAAAAAGAATAAAAATATAATGGGAAAATTGCAATGGGAGACCCATCTCTTCAAAATTTACAAATAGAACACACGTAAAACAATTAGTAAAAATAAAGGACATAACCTCTTCTTCTTCAATGTAATCCCCACCCAAACACCTTCCCAACCCACGCCGCCCCCCAAAAGAAAAGAAAAAAGAAAAAGAAAAAGGGTTTTTGTTATTTGTACACCTCCTTTGATAGATAGGCTAACATATAAAAAAATAATATAATAAAAATAAAAATAAAAACAGTTTGACAAAAATTGTTTCCTTTTTTTTATTTTTTTATTTTCTGTCAACCTATTTTTAAAATTGATTGTACATGTAGCAAATCTATAATAAAAATAAAAAATAAAAATAAAAATCCTCGCATCCCTCCCTAAGGGCAGACCCATATGGGGTAATGTAGGGTCAAATGACCCCACAAAATTTTTTATTTTTCATTTTTTTTTAGAAAATAGTTATTTTGACCCTTTTACTACCTATTTTGATGCACTCATTACGGGAGGTCAAATGAAATTGAAAATATTGCATTCTTAATACAATTTTAAAGTGGTCATGGCCTAATTTTTCCTCAGTTAAAAGCATGTGAAATGATCAATCGTAGTAAAAGTTACAATGTATCAAAGTAGGCTGTTCCAAATTAGTATTCGAGAATTTCGATAACATGTTAATTTTTAAAATTCGCCAATGATCGTATACTATCCGAATCCACATATCGCCTACGTCATCTATAAGCTCGTCTTGAAAACTACATTAGATTCATATCGAAGATAATTAAACATGTGTCAAACGTACATCTTAAAAAGATGCATCTAACTCATCTTTTCTTTATAAAATTTCAATTATTTCATTAACAATTATTTTTGCACAACGTCAAAAATTTTAGGATCTTTATGGATTAAATATAATTTGAATTGCTTTTCAATTATTTTTGTATTAGATTTAAATTTTATTTAATTCATATATTAAATGTAAATTTTATTTCAATTCATTTATTTCTTATATTCAATTTAATTTACTTGTCGTTAACTCAATATCTATCAACGAAATGATGAAAAAAATTATACAAGTAGCAAAATTCATTTAACAATATTGATTGTGATATAATTCTAAAAAGTTTTCAAAGTATTAAAATGCATATAAATTTATTTTCATTAATATTATATTACTTATAAAAAAAATTAGACTTTAATTTTTTACCACAACACAAGAAATCTAGATCCACCACTGTCCCTTCCTCTCCTCTCGTGGCCAATTACCACAATCGAAAAGAACCACCCATGCACCCACATTACCATCGAACCCCAACATAAAAGTACAATTCAAAATCCTAACAAATCACCTGAACACTTCTATGCCAGTATTCTAAAAAGCGCACTTAGACGCAAGCTATGAGTGAAACGTCACGCCTTGACAATGAGAGCTAAATTAAGCGATCAACTGCCAAATTGATCGCAAGCGCCTAGCCCTGCTTTATTAATTATTATTTTTTATCTTTTTTTTCATTTTTAGAACTCTTTTATTTGATCTTAGTTTCAAAATTTTAAATGACTTTATCTGTACAAGAGTAAAAAATAAAACAACGTTAAAATTTTTTAAATAAAACGGTGGCCAAAGGAAAATAGAAAAATGGTGAAACTCGACTGCTCCAAATCCAATCTACCTTCCTCAACGGCAAGTAAGAAATTTGAATTTGGTGAAGACTGAAGAGAATACATTAACTGGTTCATTTGATTTCGAAATAAATATTCATGGACATTTGGTGCAATTGTTGAATAATAATTTGTTTTTGTATGATTTATACATCCATTAGTGTTTCAAGGGCTATTTTAGAAGTATTTTATTTTAAGGTGTGATATTATACTCTTAGGATTCCAAACGTTCAATAACATGCCAAGCGTTTAAAAGTTATCTATCGACTATTGACTGTTAAGTAAAGATAGTATTTTATAATTTTAGATGTTTGATATGTATTATTTTAATTATAATATAATTTTTAGAGTGATTAAATATTTAAAATAATATTAAAAATAAGAAAATGCTTTTTCCTAAGCTCATAAAGTTGAAAGTTTGATCTCTACATCTAATCATGCTTTTTGCTTTTTATAACACTGCTTCTACCAATTTAAATTATCTGTCAGCATTGAATATACCAATATATTCAAGTCATCAAAATGTACTTTAGAAATAAAAATAGGCAACTGAAATTGGGTGATCGGTGAACACCATTCACGATTAAAGCAAACCAAGATCGTGATTAAGATTCCAAATTTTGATTTAACGCCAAAAAAACGAAAAATAAAACAAAATAAACGATCTCTTTTTAAAGGTGGAAAACTGTAATTAGATTATAGAAATAAATTATTTGTATAGAATATGAACCCAAGAAATTTCAAAATTAAAATTTTAGCAAATATCTATTCATCTATAGGCTATAGCAAATTCCGATATAACCCCACAATTCTTCAATCCATTTCCAATTCATCGTTATCGTCATCTTCATCGTCATAGCTCACTTCCTTTCTTCCTCTGTCCCCATTAATAGCCACTGATAAGTGTATTATATACATTTATTCAAGACTTTAAAATGATGACATTTTGTTGCTTCTTGAATGAATTATGGTATAAATTATTGCATTTGTTGTTAAACGTGTAAAATTCAATGATGGTACAAGAAATTGAAGGAAATAAGCAAAAGTCGACAAAGTTGGAGAAAATGGCTAAATCGTAAGAGATCCAAAGTTCAGGGACTAAAGTGCAAATAATAAAAAGTTCTCGAAGTCAATTGAATAAAGAAAGACATTAAATGGATGAAATATAATCAAAATATGATCACACATCAAGTTCCAACTGAAGAAATGTATGCATCGTTTTTAGACTCGTATTATGACCAACTTTTAACATGGAAAATGATTGAATTTGAAAATAGTATCTGAAGCAAAGTTGTAGCCCTTTGAGTTAAATTTCCACCGCATATTGAATTGCCTCGATCAGATATCGAGAAAAAAAGTTATGATGAAAAGATTGAACATTGTGCAGTGCGATCGAATTGACGATAGCCCCCAAGCGCTATCCTGTAGCGTCCAAACGCTATGTTTTTTATTTTTCCCCAAAATTCAGCACTTAGGCACTGCAATCATAGCGCCCAAGTGTTGTCATCGGTGCTTAGGCGCTACCTAAATTTGTTTGCGGCGCTTAGGCCCTGCATCGGGATTGATTTCATTTTTGGATCGTTTTGAAATCCATAAAAATCATACTTTCACACAAATGGAGGAAACACCTATAAATACATATTTCTCACACTTTTGGAAGGATTCTTCATATATTGAGGGGCAAGATAACATAATTGGAGAATCAAAATAGAAATTCAAATGAGGAAAACGCCAAGCAATTGAAGATCTAAATCGTTGATTGAAAGGGGAATGAGATTTTGTTGCAAGAATTCTACTTTTTCTTCTACGTCTTTACTACAAATCCGGTGATGAATTTATTGTTTTTCTTTCATTACTATGAGTAGTTAATTTGATTTTAGGGCAAACAATGTAACTATTTGGGACATTTTATTTCTTTTATTTAATATTCTTGTTCGTTGTGATTATATGTGTGGGTTTTAATCATGTTCTTAATACTTTGAATTTTCTGGCCAATTATTCAATGATTTCGTGAATAATAATTGCGTAGAGATACAGATTCTTATTTAGACCACATATTAAAATTCGATAAATTAATATAACGTGTAGAGATACCTATATTAATTGTTGCGGTCATATATGAATTCTTAAAATTATTATTTCATTTAAATAATGTTGATTCGCATAGAGATATGGAATTGAATTATTTAAATAGACTCAATGAGAACTCGCGATGGGTAAATTGAATATTGTAGAAGAATTCGACCGAACACTACTTTATATTTTATGAATCTTGATATTAGAAGTAAAGGTGACCAATAGGTGAAGTTATTCCGCCCTAATACCCATTCATTATTTGAATTCTCACTCATTCTATATTGCACTCGCGAACTTTTAAGTAGTTAGAATAAAAATCACTTTTAATCATTGTTCTCGTTTATTTTCGTCAACTAGATGTTAGAAATAATAAATTGAGTATTAAAGTATAGTTCTCTTGAGAACGATAATCCGGACTCAAAATCTCTACTTTACTACTTATTACGATCCGTCCATTTACGGGATAAAATTGACAATAGCCACTTATTGAACTTGGAAGAATTAAGAGACATCATCACAACCTTATAATTGGGGAGTGAAATAGTACACAAACTACAATGTCACATCTGAATGAGAGATTATGTTTGGCTAAAAATTGCTCCATGAAGGATCAAAATAATTCCAAGACAATGAATTTATATTTTTCTCCATGAAGGGCTGTTGATTTTTATAGAGGTCAAGTTTGCCCTTTAAAAAAACTGCTCCTCGTAATGAATCAAGATACAAAAATGGTTTTCAAATGGCCTTTTTTTAATTTGTTTTATGATTGAATAAAAACATATTAATTGGGGACAATTACAACGGAGTGGGTGGCATTGTCAGCAGTCAGCACTGGCGGAACGGAGGGGTGCCAATTCCAGCCACCGCCACTGTCGTCTTCTCCTTTGCCGCCGCAGTTTGACACAGTGACACTACCCTGAGGCCTGAACTGAAGGTATTCCAATTGCCGTCTGAGATTCTGAACTCAGATTAATTACACGGGAAATTGCCAAATTGGAATTGAATCCTTTTTCTGGGAATTCTGACTTTGACTGCAATTGGGTCTT